AGATTCTCAGCACTGACAGTAAGTTTTGGAACACAATCTTAATATACGCTTTACATCTAACGAGATCTGAAACAAAGATTGGAATTCGTATATCGTAAAATAAGAAGCGGCCAAAACGAACATAATAAATACATAATAAATAAAAGCACGAAACTCTCTCGATCATTTTAAAATTCGTATAACATTTAATTTTCGATTAATGCTCAGAATTTTTCCGGCATTGTACGGTTCGGATGTTTCGAACTTTAATCATAAGCTGCTCGGATCTTTCGGGTCTGACGGCGTCGGCGAAGGAACGCGGAAGGATGGGAGAGTCTAAAGCTTGTTTTGGAGAAACGATCTCAGCACTTCCGCCGATCACGGAATCACGGAATCACGGCGCGGCGTCGACTTTGCCGCATTCGAAATACGATTTATTTGTTCGTCATCCGTGCACGAGCAGGGCTCCCAAATCCAATAATGATTTGAATACGGAGCGGGCCGGTATGATTGTACGGTTTCGCGTTATTTCGGTCGCGCGCGCGGCGGTATCGCGCCCCCGTAATTTTATAAACACTTTGAAAATCTTGCGTCACCGGCGGGCTTCGCGCGTTCGAGATTGCCTGCCTGCCGTTCCTAGGGCTTCGTCTGCGCCGGCAGTAAAATAATTACAAAATCGTACGCGAACGAAACGGGATAAATCGAGGCTACGCGCCCCCTCACCCCGCCCAATCGGGTACCCGGTATTTTTTCAGCTTCAGGAAGCCGTCCCGCGTTCTCTCGAGGAACCCTCCTGTCTCTCTGCGGTCTTCCGAGGGCCTATACAAATTCAAACCAGCCATTTTCGAGTGTTTGCCCCCTCTCCCCTTTCTCTCACTTTGAATCCGGATCATATCCGAGCGGATTTGTTCCAAAAGAAGTCTATTACAATAGTTACGTGTTTAGAGCAATTGTCATCAGAGGGACAGAGAGAGAGAGAGAGAGAGAGAGAGAGAGAGAGAAATATTATTATAAACTCATAATTATATTTATATATTATAT